TTTAAATACCGTTTCTAACCATCAGTTTTAATGCCTATCATTATTGTTGTTTTTATTAACAAAAAGGACGCAAGCATGATTCACTTATGGTTGCTTTCTTTAAATTATCAAAATTCGAGTATTGGTTCCTCTCCTTCGTGGGGAGCAAGCATTTTCCGGACAAAAACGAATAATCGCACCGGCAGTCCTGATGGGCACAGCTACTTTTTATGCGTTTTTGCATAATATGCAAAAACACATATTGTGACGACCCCGGTGTGCTTGTGTGTGCGTGTGTGTGTGTATGCGTATGTGTGTGTATGTGTGTGTGTGTACGTCTGTCCGCGTATTTCAACTCGGCACCCAAGAAAGCTCCGACGCCAAAATTTTGCGAGTGGGTTCTTCGGCCAAGTGCCACCCCAGGACCACGGTACCAACCCTCAAGCACGTCTCCCCGAGTACGAGCGCTTCAAATTTGAGGCGGGAAAACTGCTAACTCGAGAACCAGAAAAGCTAGAATGCTGAAATTTTGAGATTACGTTTCCAGTCCACGTAGAACTCAAAGATTTCAAATTCAGCCGCCCGGGGGTTCTTAGTTCCCGCATACGGCTCCGTGAGGGTTCCTGACGCGAAAATTGCTAGCTCAGGAACTAAGAAAGCTTTCAGGAAACTTTCAGGAAATGTTCCCAACTCATGTACAACTTAAATTTACCAAATTCAGCCCCCATTATGAGTGGTTGCCAAGTACGGCCCCGTGAAACTTTGTGACGGGAAAATGACTGACTCCGGAACCAGGAAAGCTGGGAGGCTGAAACTTTCAGGAAAAGTTTCCAACTCATCTACAACTTAAATTTATCAAATTCAGCTCCCCAACATGCGTGGCTACACGTACGGCCCCGTGAAATTTTCTGGCTGGAATTTGGGTAACTCGGGAACTGGGAAGGCTGGGACCCTGGGATTTCAAGGAAATGCTCCCTGTCCAAGTATAGCATGGATAACTTCCCGAGATTCGAGGACCAGTATGTACAAGAGGTTTCTAGCTAGCGGAATTTCGAGCGATCTTACTGCAGCACAAAACACTGCAAAAACGCACGATCTCACGGGGCCCCCCAGTGCGCGTCGCCAATGATTTCTTTTACAAACACATTCCACGATCATTACAAAGTTTTTAAATTAAATATGCATTCGCAAAAGCAACTAACAATTTGCCAGAACGGTATAAGTTTAGCTTTTTCTTCGTCTGTTTTTGCCTTATCGGTGTCACCAGATCGATTTGATTCTGAACCGCTACCATTTTTCAGCTGACTGCAGTAGCATTCATGTATCAGTATTATCAGAAATTTTACTAAGGAACATAAGTTGGCATCAACTGAGCTGATCGTGCGTGCGCATTAAAATTGGGCAATTACACCGTTGAGTGGTAACCAGGTGATGGACATAGCCACTAGGAAGACAGTCTGTGCTGTATAAGATCGACTATGCTGTTCAATATCTCTCTACCCAAGCGAAAATCCCATAAGACACTATTAGCTGTTACGATAGCGCAGAAACAAATGTGTTAGCTAAGCACCAGAGTTCCTTTCTCCTTTTTCCATAATCCTCCTTTACTTCTTTTCTCCTTGTCCTGTTCATTTACATCTGTCTTTTTCTTACGTGGCGACCAGGAGGCTGTACTGACGATTCCTGTTACTACTGTCTGTGTTTACAGCTAAGCAATAAAACACAGACTGCAAATTTACCTGAACCATTGGAATATGTAACTTTCAAACAATCTTACTCGATGTTCGTCAGCGATTAGAAGTAAGCTTGTTTAAGAATATTTGTAATTTTAATAGCATACCTCTCTGTTTCTGATCGTTCTTGTTCCGTATTTTTTGACTCCAATGGAATTTCAACCATTGTTTGACCCAACTCATCGCTTTCAATTTGCGATGCCGAGAATGTAAGATCCGAAACCTTGTTGGTGCGCTTCATTTTCGAAAGAAGAAATTGCAAAAAGCCCTGATTAAAAATCTTTAATTACATTAAGCAGTGTTTGCGGCTCGACAAGTTTGTTTTAGAAGCGTAAGAGTGCGAGTGGGAGGAACTCCATTCTTAAAAAATTTTGGGGTATATTAAGTAATTGGAGTTTGTGATCAAAGGTACAGAAGCAAAAATTTTTCAGGAACAGTTTGAAACCTGGCTTTCTAGTGCTGAATTAATTCCCATAGCGCGTTTTCTTGATTTTTAGGCATTTTAGGCCAATTTTTGCAGTAAACAAGATCTTAGAGTAATCTTTAAAAGGACAAGTTCACTTTAAGAACTTCGTGAGCTGCGTTTGCGATCGGACTTAAGCCGTAACAAAAGCGCTTTAAAGGTTATGTATCTCTTGATAACAATGAATCCATTTCTGGGAATCGAATTAGGGAATTTTCCAATTTTCTTCCTAGGGTTTTTAGAAAATTCGTCAGGGGAGAAGAAATTGATAAGTATCCTTCTGGTGATATGGGTTAGGATATTTTTTTCGTTGTGTAGTAACAGTCACCTTTACAAGACATCGCTTTTCCCTACTTTAGGTGGAACAAAATAAGGATGGCGCTACCGCTTTCAGAAGACTCTTGTTGTATTTGTCCCAGGAATAAGTGGAGGACCAGACCACGATAATCGTGAATCGTCATCAACTTTTTTCCTAGCCAATTCCTTTCCTTTCAGATTCTTTCTCTCTCTTCCTTCGCTTGTCGAAGTTAAGAGATGTCTTTGGGAGTTAACATGTGATTGGAACCGCTAGAGGTTTATCCCACACTCTGCTTGGGGACAGACGCTTTTTTTTGTTAAGCCAATTCTTCATTTTTTTTTTTTTTTTGATTATTCAAGCCAACTAACTCAAAACTGATTAGGTGGAAGAATGTTCAAAACGAAACGGCCAGTTCGAATAACGAAGATTATAGATTATCTGATCTAAAAATCTGATCTGAGAAGTAATAGCAACTACCCTGTACAATACAGCCGCTTTTATAAATAGTTTTATGTTTATCTCAAAAAGAAATGTATTGATAAGTATTTTGAACTTTGGACTGTGCTATTATGAACTTCTGATCAAACGTACTGCCATAAAATTTCTTAAGATTCGAAAAAATTTTTGTGAAAGTAAACAGATCATCCGAATGAAAAAATGATAACAATGATTTCATCACAGAATGCCTCCAAATACCTCTTATGCGCCCAAATGATTTTTGTGCTGATCTTTTAGGGCTTCCGTTCCACTTTACAATGACCGCGATATTTTAAGGTTTCGCTTTATGGTTCTAAGATTTTTGTTTTTTAAGGGGTTTTTTTAAGGGTTTTTTTAAAGGGTTTTTTTTTTTCGAGTTTCGTTCTATAGAAAAATATGTTTCTTAAACAAAAATGTCTGTTATAATGATGTTCAGTATACGACCACACCCCAGTTCCATCACTAACACCGAACTCTCGCATCGGTTATGAGTGTGACTTTGCGTTTAACAAAAAAAAACAGGCAAGTATTCCGTGAAAGGTAAAATCAGCGTATTTTGCCCTTAGCGTATGCAGCAGATGAGCGGAGCGAGCACACGTTTTTGCATAATTTTGTCAAGCACGTTTGCTGTCAAGAATATTCAGTGTTTCAGAGTTTAAATATGCGTTCTAGTCGATTATTTACGATTTACAGTTACATTCGTGCTCAAAAATGAAACTTCGCCGTTTAGACTGTTATAATGGCAGTGTGATTATTATCGTGATAATGTGAAACTGTGAAATTTCAGGCGCTCTTACAGAAAGCATGAGTTACGAGCAATTGAAAATCACGTTTATCGACCTTCATTTTATTGGTAGATGACTCTAAGAAATTTAGCTTATCGGCTTCTTCAACTGGTGAGCTGAAAAACCAGGACAGATAGAACTAAAATACATGCACAGAGAGGATCTCCACAAAGTGCGGTTTTGCTTAGTAGTGCAAAAGCACGAAAAACGGCCACTAAAATGGTCCGAGTCGAAATATCGGAATAGAAATCGGAAATTAAAAAAATATCAGGAAAATAGTTAGCAAATGAAATGATAATGAACTCGTCGTGTGAGTTCGGACTTGGGAATAAACTGTTTCGTGTGCTGCAGTTGTTCGAAAAAGACGGGAGCAAGGACAGAGCCTGCGAACTGATAAGCGGGAACAAAAGCGGCGACACTCCTGAGCTAGTTCTACATCTACCAGCCTCTTCCAGCCGCTCCGCTTTTATTTACTTACGCAATCGATTCAGTGTTCGAGCGTCACTTCTTGTTATTGTAGTCACAAAATTTTGCAGTTAAATCATAATAAGCACATATGTGTCCCTAAAATACCTGTTTAGGACAAGACGCAGTCAGTTCTGACCAAAAATTTCAAAAAAAAAGGAACAAAACTCATCAGTAATCTCAGGATACGAAGTTCTGCATTTATCTTTTGTGCAATCGTATTTGAATGCATCTTGAGATATAACGTTTCAAGACACGATGAACTGACAGATTTATAGCCTCGGCATCTTGTACAACAGTAATTTGGTATCCTCCAAAAAAAAAAATTAAGCACGAGTTTCGGCAATCTCTGGGAAAAAATCTTTTGCTGAGAACCAGAAATAATAATTGGCCTCACATTCTGATCATTTACCTAAGATTCAACTCCTGAAGAATTTTTAGAGATTAAACACCCAAAAAAGTGCAGCTCGAAGTGCAAGGATTAGCGTTCCTGACTATGTATGAGGCCAACAACTTAAAACCAACATTAAAATTGATTTGTTTTATGACGTTTGACAAGCTTACTAATTTTATCAGTACTTGGTTGATTGCTAAGAAAGTGATGTAGCTTTAAACAGCTTCAAGTGCACCTGTCCCTCGTAAAAAAATTTTAATAAAAAACGAATTTTGACGATTATTTAAAATACTTGAAGTGGCGGACCAAGTCAAAATCATTTATTTTTTAATACTGTATGCGTTGCAAGACAGTACAAAACAGTACGACTACACCAATATGACGATTAGCAGTAGCTGCTGAAATTTCCTGAGTTTGATCGCTCTGGTGAGTGACCTGTTCTGCGTCCTGAATTCGAAACCTGCGTGAATGAGTATCAGGCCTGCTGTACTTGACAGGCCTGACAACGTTGCAGCCATCTCCGGTACAGAAGCAGTACTCGGCTTGCAATCGATGCACCGGACTCGTCTTCAGTAGAACCACCGTACGATCGCAACCGCTATGTGCACCACTTATTTTGCTCTTCGGCACCACCAGCGTTGAGCAACCGTGCGATATGCCTAAAAAACACTTCTGAAGAGTACACATTCACTGGAAATATGCAGCTTTTAAGAATTCTGTACTTCTGCTACGAATGTGTCATGTTCTCTGACAAGTCGATCATGCCTGCAACACAGTTCTCAGCCTGACACTCCTCGGATTCTGCACGGCATGGTTTGTAAC